AAGAAATGGAAAACTAACTAGAAGGAAAATGCTCCATTTTGCTATTGTGTCATACACATTTTACTATTGTGTCATACGTAAGCCATGGATTTCTTTTTGGGGGGGGGGTCGGTCATGGGCCTGAATTCTAGGCCTGGGTGCTGTCCCTCAGCTCTTGAGTTCAAGGCTAGTGCTCTAGTGCTTGAGCCACACTGTTGCTTCTAGCTTTTTCTGCTTATGTAGTGCTGAGGAATCGAACCCAGGGCCTCATGCATGCAATGCAAGCACTCTATCACTAAGCCACCTTCCCAGCCCAAGCCATGGATTTCTTAGCTGGTCCTTCATTTTCCTCCAGGAATTTAAGGCTAACTTGTCTCTAGTTAATTTGTGCTGTTGGTTATTGATGTAGCACACAGATTGGATGAAATGTGTATTGCAAGGAAGTTCTTCAAAACCTTTTTACTGATGCATGATTATAAGAGATCTTGAATATTTTAAGTTTCTGTCTTAGAGGTTTTTTTTCTTATATTTTTATAGTATACCAAATGTCTTTATAAAAGAAACTGAAGCATTTTGTGGCATTTTGTTCATAGTAAAATCTTAATATTTTTTGTTGTATAGTTTCAGTATTTTGAATGGTCAGGTACTTTTTTTTTTTAATTTTTTTTTGGTCAAGTACTTTTGACTTATAACTTAGATTACCTTAATCCAGTGACTAAGGCTAATTTCTTTTTTCTTTTTCTTTTTCTTTTTTTTTTGCTTTATATCAGCTGTAATTTAAAATTTTAAGCCTTTAGTGATCTAAAATTCAAAGACTTAAAATACATACTTTGGTAGTTATATTTCCCAGGGCCTTAGTTTTTGTCAGTAAGGAGTTTGATTTGAAGGGTGGGAGTGTTATTTTTGAGATAGAGCCTCGGATTCTGCCCGGGCGAGACCTGGGCATGCCTCACCTATGTTAGGCTTCCTGAGGGTAGGATAATAGCCACACACCCTGCATCCAGTTCTCTGTTGAGGAGTCTCAGGAACATTTCTGCTTTACTGATCTTGAATTATGAGCCTCTCAGGTAGCTAGGATTACAGATGTAAGCCATCAGTACCTAGCCCAGAACCATGTTTGAGACAATTAACAGCATTTAATTAATTAAGACCCTAGCTCTTGTGTCTGGTCTTCTGAATTACTTACTGTGTTTATATTCAAAACTAAATCTATCTTTAAAACATACTTTAACAACTATCAGAATATTGGTGCTGGTAGCTCAAGCCTGTAGGAAACTATAGGAGGCTTGTGATCTGAGAACTACTGTTTGAAGCCAGCCCAGTAAGGAAAATCTGTGAGACTCTTATCTTCAAAGAGCCAGAAGTTGAACTGTAACTCAGTGATAGAGCTTTAGCCTTGAGCAAAAAATTTCAGAGTCCTGAGTTCAAGCCCCAAAGAAAAAAAGACTAGAACAGAAACAGAAAAGTGAATTGCATCTTGTACTAACTAACATTGAACCACCCAAAAATGAAATTAAGAAAATCATTATGCTTATATTAGTTTAAAATAAAACAATACTAACAAATTTAACCAAAAAAGCGTAAACCAAGTTACCTGACAACCACAAAATATTAAAACAAACAAACAAGCAAACCATAAAAACCGTTAAAGAAGACCTGAACAAATGGAAGTATTATATAATTGGAAGATCTTATATTGTTGGCTATACTCTTCAAAGTGACACATTCAGGGCACTCCCCTTTAGAATCACAGCTAATGTCTTTGAGGAGCTGACTTCAAAACTCATGGAACTTTAAAGGACCAGTAGCCAAAACAGTCTTAGGAAAGAAACACAAACTTGGAGGACTCAACACTTGTGATTTAGAAATGTGTTGCAAGTTATGACAGTTTGGTACTAGCATATGGATAAGCATATAGACCAATGGCATAAAATCAGTCTAGAAATAAGCCCTCACTATTATGGCCCATTAATCTTCCAACAGTTCAAAGCAATTAAGTTATTTAAGCAAGTGTTTTAAAATAAATAGTGTTGAACCGGGCGCTGGTGGCTCACGCCTGTAATCCTCGCTACTTAGGAGGCTGAGATCTGAGGATCGAGGTTCAAAGCCAGCCCGGGCAGGAGAGACCGAGAGACTCCTATCTCCAGTAAACCACCAGAAAACCAGAAGTGGCGCTGTAGCTCAAGTGGTAGAGTGCTCGCCTAGAGCTGAAGCGCTGAGGGACAGCGCCCAGGCCCAGAGTTCAAGCCCCAAGACCAACAAAAAATAAATAAAATAAAATAAATAGTGTTGATACAACCGGAAACCCACATTTAGATGAAGTTGGGATGGGCCAGTGGCTCACTCCTATAATTGTAGCTACTTTGAAGCCAGCTTGAGCAGGTAAGGCCATGAGACTCTTACCTCCAATTAACCGGCAAAAAGCCAGAAGTGGAGCTATGGCTCAAGATGTAGAACACTGGCCTTGAGTAAAAAACCTCCAATATAGTGTTCAGGCCTTGAGTTCAAGCCTCAGGACCGGCATCAAAACACCCAAAGTTGGACCCCTTAGTTGAAAAACAATATAAGGGCTAAAACTAAAAAATTCTTAGAAGTAAACAGGCATAATTCTTTTGTTTGTTTTTGTTTGGTTGGGTTTTTTTTGTAAGTTGTGGGGTTGAACTCTGGGCCTGAACACTGTCCCTCAGCTTCTCAGGTCAAGGCGAGCACTCTACCACTTCCGGTTTTCTGGTGGTTGATTGGAGATAGGAGTCTCACAAACTTTTCCTGCCCAGGCTGGCTTTGAACCACGATCCTCATCTCAGCCTCCTGAGTTGCTAGGATTACAGGCTTGAGCCACCAGGGCCCAGCAGCCACAAATCTTTTATGACCTTGAACTAAACATTAGTTTCAAAGTCACTAGCCATAATAGCAACAAATAAATTGTACTTTATCAAAATTAAAAATTTCAATGTGTCAAAGAATACCATCAATGGGGAGAGGGGAAGCCACCCACAGGGCAGGAGAAAATATTCATACATGATAAAAAAAAATTTGTGTCCAGAAAGTTTGTTGGTGGTGGTGGTCATGGGGCTTAAACTCTGGGCCTGGACACTGTCCCTGAGCTCTTCAGTTCAAGGAGAACGCTCTGGCACTTGAGCCATAGCTCCACTTCTGGTTTTCTGGTGGTTAATTGGAGATAAGAATCTCATGGACTTTCCTGCCTGGGCTGGCTTTGAACTGGGATCCTCAGATCTCAGCCTCCTGAGTAGCTAAGATTACAGGCATGAGGGGCTGAGAAGGTGGCTCAGTGGTAGAGCGCTTGCCTTGCATGCATGAGGCCCTGGGTTCAATTCCTCAGCACCACATAAGCAGGAAAAAAAAAACTGGAAGTGGTACTATGGCTCACATGGTAGCCTGTTAGCCTTGAGCTGAAGAGCTGAGGGACAACGCCCAGGCCCAGAGTTCAGACCCCATAACCGGACCCCAAAAAAAAAAAAGATTACAGGCATGAGCCACCAGCACCCAGCTTAGTATCCAGAATATTTAAGGGATCATTGCAACTCAAGAAAAGGACAGCTGATTAAGAATGGACCAAGGATCTGAAAGACATTTCTCCAAAAAGATATATATGGGGATGGCCAGTAAGCACATGAAAAGAGCATGCTCAACTTAATTAGCCATCAGGGAAATGCAAATTAAAATCAAACTACAAACTGAAAACACTTCACATCCACTAAGATAATTGTAATCAAGAAAAATAAATGTGAGCCTCAGTGTAAGGAAATCAGAAGACACACCCCTGCTGATTGGAATGTAAATTATACAATCACTTTGGAAAACAATCAGTTCCACAAAAAGTTAACAACTGATCAGCAATTTCACTCTTGAGTATGTGCCCAGTAAATGGATGTCCATGCAAAAATGGCTATCCATGAATGTTTAAATCAGGGCCTGGTTGCTGTCCATTAGTCCCTTAACTGCTTTATGCTCAAGGCTGTTTCTATATTACTTAAGCCATACATCTACTTCTTTGGAGATCAGTGTTTCTTGGACTTTCCTGTCCTGGCTGGCTTTGAACCTGGATCCTCAAATCTCATCCTCCCAATTAGCCAGGGTTACAGGTGTGGTCACTAGTGCCCAGCAAAGCTAGGTTCTTGAACATGCTACACAAGCAAGCACCCTCAGCTGTACCATATTTTCTTTATTATTTTCTTATTTTACCTGTTAGGAATAATACTGCAGTGAGCATGGAAGTTTACTATCTCTTTGAGATTCAATTTCATTTAGATATATATCTCCAAAAGTAGGATTGGTAGATTATATGGAAGTTGTTTTTAATTTTTAGAAAACTCTCTGTATTGTTTTGTAAAATGGCTATACTAAACCTCTTGTGGTTTTGATAGTAGTTATCCTATCAGATATAAAGTGATGTCTCTGTGATTTTTATTTGCATTTTCCTGGTGATTGGTTTTGTTGCACACTTTTTAGTGTACCTGTTGATTACTTGAAGCATAGCTATCAGGGAAAATATACTCTGAACTACTGTTTGTAAGATATTGCAGAAACCCTGGGGAGGATGTTAATGCTTGTTTAGAAATCTTTGGTGACTATTTTTCCACATAATTGTTTATTCTTTCAATTTTTTTCTGAAGATTGTTTTGTTAGGATATATGTCAGATAGTTTGAATAAGACATAGCCCTGGCATAAGAAACTGAAAGACTGGAGATAATCTAATACAAGAGTCCCATGATAAGTGATATATGAGACTGAGATGGAAAGAATGGTTAAAGAAGGGGAAGAAAGGATGGCTTCATGGAGGAAGAAATGTTGAAGCTGGATGTTGAAGGAGTAGGAGTTTGCTGAGGAAGAGGAAGGAAGGGCAAATGGTAGAAGAACCTGTTGACACATGGGATGTTAGAATTTATCCTTTTGGCATGAGTTGGAAAACCCTTAAAAGTTTTCAACAGACTTTAAGCTGAACTTGTAGGTAATAAATATTATGTGTTGGTGGCTCAAACTCTTCAACCCTATTTTCCAGGAACTCGAATCATTTATGATCGAAAGTTCCTTTTGGATCGTCGCAATTCTCCCATGGCTCAGACCCCACCCTGCCATTTGCCCAAAATTCCTGGAGTCACCAGCCCTGGCACCTTAATTGAAGACTCCAAAGTAGAAGTAAACAACTTGAACAACTTGAACAATCATGACAGGAAACATACAGTTGGTAAGGGAATGTCGTGCTAGACACCAAGAGGGTGGCTCTGGGAAATTGAATGCCAGTTTTTGTTTGTTTGTTTTTGTTGTTGTTGGTCGTGGGGCTTGAACTCTGGGCCTGGGCACTTTCCCTGCACTCTTCATCTCAAGGCTAGTGCTCTACCATTTGAGCTACAGCACCACTTCTGGTTTTCTGGTGGTTAATTGGAGATACGAGTCTCATGGCCCTTCCTTCCCGGGGCTGGCTTTGAACCATGATCCTTAGATCTCAGCTCCTGAGTAGCTAGGATTTCAGGCGTGAGCCACCGTCTATAAGTTGAAAGATGTTAATTCACCAGAAACTAATGTTTAGTTATATATCTCATAAGGTTCCCTATCTCCTACATGGTTCATGAAAATACTAGGGATTCCAAATTATAATCAACTCTAGGCTAGGGGAGAATTATCCAAAATGAAAAGATGATGAGTCCCAAAGGTGACTCTTGAAGGACTGCCTGACAGACTTCACTGGGCTAGGGGTCTTGATATCTGCCCCCAACCCCATATACACACAGTTGGGGAGGGGTCTGGGCACGTGCACTTGAACACTGTTGCACTTGTACTTAATGACACCTGGGCCTAAGCCAGCATTGTGCTATTTCCAATTCCAGTTGAGTTTTTAATGGACCAAGTATTGGACAGAGCAGGGCCCAAGTTCAAAGCTTTAGAAGAATATCTGACACATGACCAGGACAGTTGTGTGGTCAGTCTTTGTGTAAAGTACTGGAAAAGTTCACTGTGTCCTTTCCCCTTGGTCTGTGACTGACTTAATTTTTCCTGGATTAAAAAATTAGCCAAAGCAAAGTTGAATAAATGGTGAGGTTTTTGTTTTGTTTTTTCCATTTGTTTCAGGTGTTGAGGCAACAGAAGATGGGACAATTTGAATTATTTTTGACGCTTTTATATAGGGAATGTTGTTTAACACAGGTTGCTTTTCCTTTTCCTGCTTAATTTTTCATTGTCTTTGTCCTACTCAGGAGATGATGCTCAGTTTGAAATGGACATCTGACTCTTCTGCAAGGTATAGAAGAGAAGCGGCAACATGGATGCCTGTGTGTACCTGATTTGGCGAATTGCAACAACATTTGAAAGACAGAAGATGCAGTACCAGCAATCCCCAATGCAGCCTCACCTCCCCCTCTCCCTTCGGGTGCCAAATGATAGAGGATAAGCTTCATCTGACCATTTCTTCTCCCTGTTTGTTGCCCTTTGCCCAATTAGACAGATTAGTTTGAAGGCCCTTTGTTATTTCTATAGAACTAAGCATTCCTTAGAGGAAAACAGTTAAACTGTGGCTTCCTGGTCATTTTCTATTGAGAACTCCCTTTTCATTCTCAGATTTATCCCAAATGTAATATCAATCTATCAACCGCGTCCTGACTAGGATGTCTGGGGAAGAGGTGTGTCTCTTCTCCACTAGCCCATTGGTGATTGATTTGGTGCTGGGGAAATTACTTTTTTTTTTTTTTTGGTCTTTTTAATTTAAAGAGAGAGAGCTGCTTTCCCTTTTGCCTTGCTGTTTGTCCTTAGGGATAGAGTGCAGCTTGCACAACTCCAGTAGCAGTACCCTGAGACACTGTTTTGATGTCTGCTTCCCCTCTTTATTCTGAGAGGAATGTCCTGTATCTTTGGTATTCTAGTTCATCTTCCCATTTCTTTTCTTACTATATTTGTGCAGATAAACTTAAACTCTTCAACAGAAGAAAGCCCTTGGTGATTGGCTCTTCTCCTGTTTTTAGACCTGCTTGTTACTGGCAGAGTCTTGTACTATGTGATCGAGTGATTTCGTTTGCTCCCACTACCAGTCCATATGAAATAATAGAGGGACTTGGGCCTCCACTTGATGCATAAGGCCTGACCATGGTATTCTGCTAGATAATACCTGAGAATGACCTCTGAAGAATGTTGAACCATTTGAGTACCTTGTTTCAGTAGTAGCCATGTTAAAATCCAATGAACATTGATATTTTTGTCTTGGACTGTAGTTTCTTATATTTAAGTTTAAATTTGACTTTCAGAATATTCTTAGGAAAGAACTACATTTCTTTTCCAATATGGTTCTACTTGGGCTGTTGGGACAGACCCGGATGGACTTAAAAACATGTTCCTCCCAATTTTCTTGCCATTCCTATTGTACTCTGACTTTTCCCTTTCCTTTTTTTCCCTCTTTCTCTCCCTCTCCTCTTCTGCCAGGCCATTTTTCAAATCTAGATCAAAGATACCTCAAGTGTTGGTATCTGATAATATCTGTCATTCCTCTTATCTGAGGAAGTACCTTTTATTTTTAAGATGATTACAGACAAACTTATTTTTAGATACGTTTCAGTACAATTTTGGGCAGCAACTTTTAAACTAAACATCTTGCAGTGTAAGGAAAGTAAAAATGTCCATAGGCAAATCTGCTGTTCTTATGTCACTCACTGTCCTTTGTCTCCCCCTAGCCTTTCTGAGCTCTTTCTTGCTTGAATTTTGGGTGTACATGTATGGAGTTTGTAAAACTGAACTGTTCTGCCTTGCTGTGGATTGTTCAGGAAAGCCTCATTCTTGGCCTAGGCATTTTTGTTATGCTTCTTCACTAGTCTACTCTCCTGGTACTGTAGTCTGGTTTAATAATCCCAGGAGAGTGACTCCTTGGAAAAAAGACTAATGGAATGTCCCTTCAAAGGAAGAAAAGCAAAGTAGCCACTGGTGTCCTGGCAATTTCTGGCTGGACTGGAAGCCCTAAATCTTGTAGTAAGAGATCAGATCCCAAGGTGAGAGAAACAGACCTACTGGCTAGGAAAATAAAGCTGTTTTTCTTTTGACTATGGAAAGACCTTATTGTGAAGACATTTTAGAAGACATTTATAGAACGTTGTTCTGTTTTTTGCTACAAAATGTGAATAGTGTGAAAATCCTTTTGTGATGGTTGATATCTCTCAGGAAAAAGCTGGGTCCTCAGTATTTGGGGATGCTTTGAGTCTCAAAGTTAATCATCAGAAAAGTTTTTTTTGTTTGTTTGTTTGCTTAGTGTATTCCTGTTTTGCTTTTAGTTAAAACTCCAAATTTTGCTTTACATGGTCCTGGAAGAGCTTAAGCTGTGCTATCATTGATATAGGAGCTTGCCCACAACCTCATTTTACCCGGGAGCCTGGTTCCTTAGGGATGAAGCTTTACATTCTTCATAACCTGGCAGTGCCATCCTGAGGAATCTTCCTCCAGCTAAGAGCCAGGACCTCAGTGAGCAGAGGATACACTTCTTGATCAAATTGCCAGCTACAACAGCTTAGCTTGCTCATTGACCCACAACAGGGAGTAGATTTATGAGAATTTGAGAATACCAACATTTCATTTTTCCCTTTCTTACTACCTTGGGGAAATCTCTGTACTTCCCCTAATGAGAGGCCATGTGTTTGGCATTTCTTGGAAGTGTCAGCTGCATAACTCAAGAGCTTCTGCATCCTTACTTTTCTCTGTCAGGACCTCCTCACTGTTTGGTGCAATTCTTTCTGAAGGCCATCTCTGCCACACATACTTTTTTTTCTATAATACAATCATCATTGTGAAGATGATTGCACACAACAAGAAACAAACTTCCAGCAGATGACATCTTTATGCAGTGCCTCATAGGATTGTTTTCAGAGCAGGTCATTGTCCAGAGGTGGTTTACCTCTGTGTGTTTAGAATGAACCTCATAGCTCTAAATGAAAAATGTAGCCCTCCTTGAGGAAGGAGTATCATAACCATCTGAGTGAGACAGTTCTTTTAAGTCTTAGTGTGCTTTTATTTTCTCTTTTTATGGAGAACAATCAGTCTTCAGGAGAAATGGCCTCCCTCCAGATAGTAGGAAAAGACGTATACATGGTTCTCTGGTGTGGCTTGCTGAGTTTCAAGCTCATGTTCTGATTAGATAGTTGTAGCATTCTCAAGAACACAGGAATAGAGATACTACCTCTAGATAATGGGCTCTCAAGGCAAGTTTTATCCTAATACCTGTATGAATTATCTGTTCAACAAATTGCCTATAAATTTATCTCAAAGTAGCAATTTTTTTATTTTAATTAAGTCTTTTAATTGTGAAAATACTGTACAAAGGGGTTACAGTTACATGAGCAAGGTATAAAGTAGCAAATATTCTGTCACTTTCTCCAGGTTAGAGATTTGAGAGCAGCTAATTGTGGGAGTTTCTACAGGCAAGACTATTGGATCCAGCTGGAGCATGCCCTTCAAATTCCCTCTGTGACTGCAGAAGGACACAGTTGGGAGAAAGTTACATGGTACCTTTAAACCACCACACTTGCAGCAAAGGTAATCAGGTGAACAGGGAGGTAGGTTGAATCTAAAAGATACACATGCCTTGCTACTAAAAATCGTTATCTTAACATGTGTATCACCAACCTGGGAGATAACACAAACTTTCCTGAAATCTACCTGTTTTATAGAAGTGGCAAAAATATGATAGTTCCCAAAACTAAAGTGTGTGAAGTGCCAGCAGCTCAAGGATGGTCACTGGAGATCTTAGACTTCCTGTCTCCAAGGCTTATTTGCCCCTTTTCTTTTATCCAGTAGTTGACAAAGAGAAAGAATTGGGGCCTTCTGGCTTGTCCAGCAAATAGGAATTAGATGTTCAGTTATTATGTGGGAAAAAGCCATTCAGGTAGATAAACTGGTGTCCGGGAGCCAAGTCTCCACCAAAATCACTGCCTGCTATCTGCTGTCTCCAGCTCATCAGTTCACAGATTTGGGTCAGAGCATCTAAGAAGCAATGTGTATAAGTTAGGGAACACTGGAGATTTCTTTGGTACCTGCAGTGTTGCAGGGAAGCTCTCTGGCCAGTCTTGTCCTAGGCTTCTTCATGGAAGATTGAATAGTACCCCTTTCATCCTCAAGAGAAACGTAAGGCAGCTTTTCAGTGCAGCATATGCTCAGTGAGTGCCATTTGTTTCTGACACCATTCCCAAACAAGTCTTTAGCAATTCAGATATCTTAAAGATACAAATTCTAGTTTATACTGAAATACCTTCCAGTGAATTTTGGTTTTCCTTCTGATTTTGAGGAATCATTTTTATTGTTTTGCTACTTGGGTTGTTGTCTCTTTGGGACTCTCAGACCTCACCTTCTCAGTTCAGACAGCTTGAAGTCTCATACTTCAGTCAGAATGCAGCAAGGTCTATGGTTTCATTTGCCCAAGTCCATTCCTTAGCCAGTGTGTGTAGTGCCTCCTTAGAGTCTAGGCACTGAATCCACAACAGGCACCAAGTAAAGGACTTAACGAATTGGCCATTACGTTCCAGGGAGGAATCTCCTTCCCTTCCCTAATCTTGGATGCCAGCTGCTTGAAGCTGAGCTCTTCTTCTTTTACCATTCTCTAGAAAGAAAGCGATACACTGCCCAGCCAGCATTGCCCTTCTCTGCATGCTTTCTAAACTGCATGTGTCTGGGCAGCTATTTATTAATTTGCGTAACCCAATCATTTGCCTACCCTTACTATCTGTGAGGGCAGTTTCTGTCTGAACCTTGAAGGAGCATAGCTGCCTCACTGCTTTTTACAAGATGAAATCAGATCTTGATGCAGGCAGGTCAGTGTTCCTTAGAAAGCTTCTGCTCCAGGGGCATTTCCTGTTCTAACCAAGACTCTGCATCCTAGTAGTGGTGGTTCCTTGAAGCTAGCTCATAGAAATGTCTAACTGAAAACTAAGAATGATTGATCCATACTCATTGGTCTAATTGGCCATTCATGACACCTTTCTCACCCTTTGGAATTTTAACTGTTTTCTCTAGGCTAGTCCTGGAAGCAAAGCTTATAATTAGAAGCCTTTTGGATTTCTGTTCAGATGGCCTGCGGTTTCTCTTTGCTTGCTAACTTCTGCCTGCAGACCTGGTAGACCATACTATATGTCATGAGTGCCCAATAGAAAACATTACCAAACTGAAACACATTTCCCAGGGTATTTAAACTTTTACTCTGTTATTCTGCCACCTTTCTAAGCTGGGAAGCTGGCAGAGAAATGCTGTGATACTTGATAGCTTGATAATCACTTGGCCATGTTGAAATTTCCAAAAGGAGCTCTTGCCTGGTGCTCAAAGCCAAAATTCCTGGACACTTCAAACTTAGAGAATTCCATGAATCCAGCACAGAATATCTATTCTTGCCTCAGTGTATCCAAACAAACCAAACCCAAGCTCAGGCCAAGAGGACTTGTTACTGGAATCCAGGAGAGCAGGGGAGGAATACTTGTGCCAGTGCCTTTCCTTTACCTGCAGAGCCAGCTCCACTGGGAAGGCTCCCTCTCCCACCCTAAACCTGAAGGACCGGACCCCAGGGACACTCAGGTTCAGGATCCCATTTTAAGCATCTTTATAAATGTTTTGTATAAGAAGCCCTTCCCTTTTCCGCCACACGGAATGGGAAGGCAGAACTGCCAGCACCTTTGGTCCTACTCCTCTCTCCATGTGTTGTCCCCTCAGCCCTCCCTCCCACTCATGGCAGAGGGCACCTTGAGGCAGTCCTGGTGTGTGATTCCATGACCAGTTTTTGTTTTAACTGTTCTTCCAAACCAGCAGGTGTTTGAGAATTAGGGGAAAAAAATAAATTCTCACCAACGGTTGCTGTTACAGTTAAATCAATTAAAGACCTTGAGTGTCAACTTGGTGGGTTTTGTTTGTTTGTTTGTATCTGTGATGCTGGGGATTAAATCCAGGGCACATACTAACTATACTTCACCACTAAGTTACTCACCAGCCCTGAGTGTCTTTTTTTGTTTTGTTTTTTTAATTTCAGATGAGGGGTTGGAGGTGTAGCTTAGCCAAGTGGCCTGGTTGTTCACAGCAACTAGATCAGGTTTGAGTTGTTTAACAAAAACTGGTTTTGAACTTCCTGTACCATCACCAAAGTGGCTCCATGGTCTTCCTAAAATCTAGCAATTATATCTTAGCCCTGTCTTAGAGAAACCCAAGGATAAGACCATAAGAATCCTGCTGAAGGTAGCACTCCTAGACTGACATTCCAAACCTCTACTCTGACAGGAAGACATCAAATCTAGCTTATCCTGTGGGCCTCTTCATTGTGTCTAGCATTAAAAAGGACAGAGTTCTGTCCTTGAGGTTACTAGACAAGACTTAAATGCTGTGTTAATTAATGCAAGGTGGTATACATGCAGTGTTATCCAGCCCAGTTTAGGACATCAGACAAGATAGATTTCTGGGCCAGGGTGGCCCATCTTCAGAGAAGAAAAGGACTGAGCTTCCTCAAGACCAGCACCCAGACAAAGGCTTCCTTGGGTACATCTAGTTCACTATATACATGCCTATCTGTGTTCCTGAGCTCAGGACTTGGTCATGCTCCCAAGAAAAGGATGGTTCACCATTTCATCTTCCAGGAATGTCAAAGAGTCCCATTAGTGTTCAGAACAATGCACAAAGCAGCCAGCTAACCCTGTTCTCCCCTACCAGCCACCCTCCGAATGGGAAATAACCCTCCATAGGGGCACATTTGAATTCTTGGCAGAGGCTGAGATTTGAACTCAGTACCTGATACTTTTTATTTACCCACTTATCAGGCAACCAAGGAGTCAGGAGTCCAGTTTTTCCCATTCATATCTGACTTAACACTGCTTCACAAACAGCAGGTTTGCCTTGAAAGCTGTCAAAATAACATGTTGAGCCCTAGGTTCAGGCAGAATAATTCTCAAGCAGTTCTTTCTCTAAGATGATTAAACCTCCATACAAGCAGCCACTGCTGAGAGGCAAAGCTGTTCCCTAGGCTCTAGTGGATAGTTTTTTTGTGGTGGTTTTTTTTTTTTTTTTTTTTTGCCCAAATGCCTCTGGCCCGCAGCAGGTGACTCGTACAAGCACCTGTCTGTCTGCAAAGGGGATTTTGCCACTTTGTGCCAGCGCCTTCTGCTAAACAGGCATGCCTTCCAGCATGGAGGTCTGTCCTCCAGTAGACAAAGAAGCTAGCTATACACACTCCCACAGGCCATAGCCACAAATAGTTTGACCTTTCTCTTGACTGCTCCCACCCCCATACAAGAAATGTTGGCCCCTGAGTAAAAATACTTCCAAGCCCTGGGCTGGGACTTTAACTCCCCAGAGCTTTAGATTAGGGAGTAGGGAGAAGAAGGATGTTCATACATTTGGCCCCAAGGTCTAAGGCTTAATCCAAAGTTAGGTGAGCCCCTGAGGCTCAAGAGACCAAGTTATTTTCTGGTGTAGCTATGCCTTGAGTCATTCAGGAAAGGGAATGATATCACAAGGCTAGCCAGGGGGTATGGTTGTCAAAAATGAAAGCAGATTATGACTGAATTGTCTTTAACCCCAGGCAGACACCTTCCCAAGAAAAGCAGCTTGCCTGTGTTGCTGAATCAAGGCCTTGAGGTTTCTCAAGTCCATCCTCTAGCAAACCATACTCAGCCCCTGGCTGGGCCAGGGCTACTATCTTTGATTCAACTAAGGTTGTGCTCACTGTGCTTCAGAGTTCCCACACAGCTGGGGCCCTTCTAAGGCCTAAGCACAAGTGGAGGGGCAGCCTGGGAAATAAGATGGGGGCTTGACTTCTGTGGACTCATTCCCAGCAAAATGGCCCACTCAACCTACCAAGGAAACTGCCCCCATTTTGGTGATATATGGTGTACAGCTAAGAGCAGAAGGGCTGCCCTTGGGAACTTTCTGTACAGAGGAAGACTTGTGTGTGGGAACGCTACAGGAAGCTTAGGTGGTTTTTGCTGTGCTGCCACATGGAGCTAAGTCCAAAGGAGCTGGTAACATTGAGGCAAAACGGAAAGAGCTTGGACCTTAGGCTTAACAGGCGTTGGAAGCATCAGAGGGAGAATGGGGGTAAGGCCTAGAGGGCCATCTGCCAGCAGACATCCCTTCTTGGTGCTGGGGATTAAAGCCAGGGTCTTGGACATTTAAGGAAATGCTGTCCCCATTGACCCATGCTCCCGCCAGGCGCTGACAGACATGTCCTGAGTGCATTAGAATCTACCACCTTTGAGGGTTTTGTGTGTGTGCCGGTATCAGAGCTTGAACTTAAGAGCCTTGTGTTCTTGCTAGGCTTTCTTGCTCAGTTAATGTTCTACCATTTAAGCCATACCTCCCGAGTCCAGCATTTTGCTGACTAGAGATAGCATCGCACATGTTTTTCTGCCATCCTCCAGATCTCAGCTCTGTGAGTAAGTAGGATTATAAACATGAACCATCAGTGCCCAGCAGTCACCTATGATTTTATATGAAGAGGCTCAGCAGTGAAAACACATCTCAGTGGTTGATCTGTGACCACTCTTCTTCCACCTCCTACCACCCAGGTAAAGTTCACCCTTGCTAGATAGGAACCTCCACGGACCTCATTCACAGTACACATTGAAACTGAGGTGAATTGTCACCAACTTTAATAGATGTGGGTCATATCTGCCAAGCAGACTGATTTAGCGACATAGTGTAACGGCTCCAGCTTCTGCAGTGTAACATGGCCAGTCCTCTTGGATAAGTTCCCACCTCTCTTGTCAAAGGCGACAGCTGGCCTAGGAAAACTAGACAATGGTTTGATTGTAACTCAGCAGAGATCTTGCCAGGAAGCCTTGGCACAGCCAACACATTGCTGCTAGCCAGCCAGAAAGATGGGGCTCCCCTAATACAGTGTGAGGCAGGGGGAGCCAAATGACCAGTTTTAATCTCATAGAATGACACTAATCTTTGGGGAAGGACAGTGGGTCACAGACCACTTTTGAGACACACAAACACAATAGATGGCCTCAAAAATAAATGCATGTATGCCCCCCCTCCCCCAACTCTGGCATACAATTCCATAGGGTTCACAAGTTTAAAAACTTGGGGAAAGAGTTGTTGCACTTGAGCTTTTAGTTGCCACTATCTTCAGTGAGCTCCCTGCCCGGCTTCCTTGTCCCTCTCCCTGACAGGGGCCTCTGGGCCCAGCAGATAGGACAGAGCCTTGCATTTACAGTGGGCAGCCCTTCCTCTTCCGGTCTGACGGACACAGCTGCTTCTCCTGTTTCTCCTCCCTGGATAGATGTTATCATGTCTTCCGGGAGCTTCCTATCCTTCTGGAGTACAAGCCAGCTTGGCCTTCCTCAGGGGCTGTCAGAGGCAGCCACACTCTTCCACGATCATGTCCTCATGGTGCTCCAGGAGCACTCTGCCATTGTCCACATACAGCATGCTTAGTGGCTTGGTCTTCACCGGGGCACAGCAGGTGGAAGGAACCCGGTGGGGCTGGTATCGTTTCAGCAGACTCTGAAAGAATGGAAGAGAGGAAGGTCAGGTTACATCCCAAGAGGCTAAAGAGAATGAAAACCAGTTTCCTGGACAAACAGGAAAAAGGATCAGCATGCCAATATGTTATCAATTATTAACATCCCAAATAAACTAGCTTTGTTCTGTTTCTAAGCAGAGAGATTCTAAAAGTTATGAGTGGGCTGAGGGTGCAGCTTAGTAATAAGAGCACTTGTTTAGCATACACAAAGCCCTGGATTCTGTTTCCAAGAGCCCTAAAAAAAAGTTAACAGCCACACACTGGTGGCTCACACCTGTAATCCTGTCTACTCAGGAGGCTGAGATCTGAGGATCGTGGCTCAAAGCCAGCCTGGGCAGGAAAGTCTGTGGGACTCTTATCTCCAATTAACCACAAGAAAACTGGAAGTAGTGCTGTGGCTCAATTGGTAGAGTGCTAGCTTTGAGCTAAAGATTTTAGGCTCAGGGACAGCTCCCAGGCCCAGATTTCAAGCCCCACGACCACCAACAACAAAAAGTCTATCATCCTAGTTACTCAGGATACTCCACAGCATCCCTACCAAATATGACGTGGCCCTATAGGTGGGGAAACTGAGGCTCAAGAGAAGCAGCAATTGAATACACAAATTGCTAATGAGGAGGAGTCACACATAGTGTGAGGCATCTCCAATCAGATTCTAAATTTCCTGAGTGCTGAGCCTTTCAGTGCTATCCACACAGTACACAAAAAACTGCCTATGGGACCAGATTCCACCCTGTGATGGGACAGCTGTTTCCTCCCAGGACTTTTTACTCAATCTGGCATGTTTGAGGAACTCAAGTGACTGTTGAGCGACTGAACAGTGAAATATGATAGCAAAGGTGGAGCAATGTCTCCCTGTCCAGCAGTCTGCCCTCAAGTGTGGGCACCATACCTGGATGTATGCATGGTTGGTGGGGTGGAACTCCTCCCCCACAGGGTTAGGACACTCGCCCTCACAGCGATAGGCATTGTACTGCTTGGGGTAGATGATCCAGGAGCCCCAACCAATCAAGTTGAAGTCTACCTGGAACTTGACCTTCCGACACAGTTGGCTTCTGTCTGGCAGTGGATGTCGGCGCTGCCTCTTGCTCCACAAACTCCTCTCCCGGGACAGCTGACCTTCCTGAGCTCGCCAGGAGCTCTCGGCTTCCCACAGCAAGGTGGCACCACCCAGCCGTCTTTGCTCCCGTGACAGGTTGGAGTAGAGCATAAGAAGCACATTGGTGTTGGTGACAGGTGGGGTGGGTGTCTGCAGCCAGCACTCTCTATTCACACTGGACATCTGTTCCTCCAGTGCCCTGGGGTTCTTCAGCCATTTAGAGAGTGGCCTGGTCACCTCCAGAACCATGCTGCCTGAGGAGAAGGTGACTTGGGATGGAGTGACAGTGAAACTCTCCATCTGGAAATGTTCTGGGCATTTAGCTAGGTCCTGCTCTGCATCCAGCTTTGGCTGGTGGAAGATCTTGATGGTGAGTTGACCCTCATCAGGGAGGTCTACAGGGCTGGACAGCTGCAGCCGGAGCTCAGCCCATGCCAGGTCCTCCTCTTGGTTCAGGAAGGAGAAATCAAAAGTGAAGGTCCAGTTCTGCCCATCTACCTCCACAGCTAGGGGGAGAGAAAAACAAAGAGGGGAACTGGTGAGAGGCTCCCTCAGCCTGAGTCATGCTACAAACCACCACAGCTCATAGATCAGTCCTTACTTCTTTTTGGAGGGGGAGGGAAGGGAGTTGGTCAGTTGGGGCTTGAACTTAGGGCGCTATCCTTGAGCTTTTTCACTCAAGGCTTGCACTCTACCGCTTTGAGCCATAGCTCCACTTCCAGTTTTCTGGTGGCTAATTGGAGATAAAAGTCTCACTGACTTTTCTGCTTGGACTGGCTTTGCACAGAACTCAGCCTGCTGAGTAGCTAGGATTACAGGCATGAGCCACCAGCACCTGGTTTAATCTTTACTTTTTTGTCAGCCACTTCTCATGCTTGCCCCACCTCTTCCAGCTACTGACATTTGAGTCCATTTTAAGGATGGGGAAAATGGAGGTTGCTCCTCGCATCCATCTTGAAAGGTAACAAGTAAACCTAGATTTGCATAAGTGTAAAACACAGACCCCAGCCTCTCTTTAAGAGCCCCTCCAAGGGCAAAGAACAGCAGATAAGTGCTGCCTTCCTTTCTCTCTCTCTCTCACAGTCTGAGTGCTGAGCCTGACTCTAGGGCTTCCCTTTGTCCAGTGAGCCTGGAGCTAGCCACCTCCTCTGTTTTCTCATTGAATAGGGTAGCCTGCTTCACTGACACACTGAATTAGTTGTATCATGAAACCCCCAAGAGCTGGCCATCCTCTCCCCACTTGTTCCTACCTAATGAAGAGAGAAAAACTTCCTCCTCCCCCCCTCCTCTGGTCAGTTGTAGGGCTTGAACTCGGCCTGGGTGCTGTCCCTCAGCTCTTCAGCTCAAGGCTCATGTTCTACCACTTGAGCCACAGTGCCACTTCTGGTTTTCTGGTTTCCTGCTCAGGCTGGCTTTGAACCACAATCCTCAGATCTCAGCCTCTTGAGTAGCCAGGATTACAGGTGTAAGCCACCAGCGCCTGGTTAAAACTTCGATTTTTAGCAACCTCGCAAGTAGGTTTCTATAATCATTCTAGGCATGATTTCACAGGCACCTCAGTCTGGGGCTGGGAAGATGGTTCAGTGGTAGAGCGCTTGCCTTGCGTGCCTGAGGCCCTGGGTTCGATTCCTCAGCACCACATAAGCAAAAAGAAAAAAGCCGGAAGTGGCGCTGTGGCTCAAGTGGTAGAGCGCTAGCCTTGAGCTGAAGAGCTGAGGGACAGCGCCCAGGCCCAGAGTTCAGACCACACGACCGGACCCAAAAAAAAAACCACCCAGGAAAGACCTTCTTGTCTTATCTGCACACAAAGCCACACCTGCCAGTGCTCCTGGTGCAGACACACAGCAATCATACATTCACACATAGCCCTGTACCACCCACTTAAGACAGCCAAACCATACTAGGTGATATGGAGTGGGATAGCATATTCTGTATGCTTTAGTAATTGATTGATTAAAAATATTTTTTTTTTTGCTGGTGCTGGGACTTGAACTCAGGTCCTGGGTACTGTCCCTGAGCCTCTCTGTGCTCAAGGCTTGCACTCTACCACTCTACCACAGCTCCATTTCCATTTCTTTTCTCATGGACTTTTCTGCCCATTCTGGCTTCAGACCTCAATTCTCTGATCTCAGCTAGGGGTATGTACAGGTATGAGCTACCAGTACCTGGCAGTAAATGTGGATTTTTGTCTGATGTCTAGCACATATTTATAGATTTTCAGGCCAATTAAAAAAGCGATCTTGGTGTCTCCATGCATGTGTATGTCTGTCTGTCTATGTGTGTCTGCATGTTTGTCTCTCTGTGTCTGTTTCCCTATGAGAGCACCCACATTCTTCTAGAATGTGCCCCTATCCTTCTGTTTGTCTCCTTTTTTGTCAGTCTGATTGCCTGTTTGTTTACCTACTTAGCTCTGCCAAGTTTTCTTAAAAAAAAAAAAAGCAATCTTATAGGCAAATGCTTGTGGTTCATACCTATACCCTAGATACTGAAGAGGCTGAGATCTGAGGATCACAGTTCGAAACCAGCCCAGGCAAAAAAACCCATGAGACTTTTATCTCCAATACCAGCAAAAAGCCCAAAGTAGAGCTTCAGTATAAGTGGTCGAGTACTAGCTTTGAGCATAAAAGCTCAAGGATCATGGACTGACAAGCCCCCAGACTTGGCAATAACAACAACAAAAATGATCTTTTAGCCAGGCGCTTGTGGCTCACGCCGTAATCCTAGCTACTCAGGAGGCTGAGATCTGAGGTTCAAAGCCAGCCCGGGCAGGAGAGACCTTGAGACTCCTATCTCCAATAAACCACCAGAAAACCGCAAGTGGCGCTGTAGCTCAAGTGGTAGAGCGCTCGCCTTGAGCTGAAGAGCTGAGGGACAGCGCCCAGGCCCAGAGTTCAAGCCCCAC